TGGTAATACAAATACAAATGATAAAATCCATTGAATTAATATATAATATATGAAAGTTGACATTGTTCGAAGATATTTATATTTATGATATACAATACGAAAAAGTCTATAAGCAGCTTGTAATATATAAGATAAATAAATTGAAATAACAAAAACAATAGCAAGATAACCACGAATATGACAACCCCAAAAAATAATTGATTTTAATGAAGTTATATTACGATCACCACCAATACTTGATAATGTCATTAAAATAAGTGATATACATGAACCAATTATAGTTATACTTGTATTACATGTTAGAACTAATGATACATGAAATGATTTTTTCGAATTCTTCTTTGAAATATAAATAATAATAACATAAACAATAACAGATATTGAAATAATTATTGATAATGTTACATTCGTTAGAGTCCACATACTGGTTAATGTTTTTAAAAAAAGTTGATCATTTGATTTGTTAACATTTGTAGTTTTGTTTATTATTGTATTCATCATGATTGTTTGTTTTTCTAAATGATAAGTTCAAAAAAATATTTTCTATTAAATAACATATGTGATTAAATTGACAAGTTGAACAAAGAAGATATGCAGCATTTAGAGCACGATCTATAAAAATAGAAAGTAAAATAATATCTGATCATTTGTCTGGTGACAATCTATAATATTAATCTTCAAGATATTCTCATTTACGATTATACTTCAAATCCTTTGTTTTGGTTTAAAGAAAATATTAAATTCTTTTGAGTAGCATCAATGAATTATTGCTTTGTATATGTGAGATGTGACATAAATCAATCATAAACAAATAATAATATAGTTCATAGAGTACATAAGTGATGAAAGATTTATTATGACAAGTAAAGTCAGAAGACAATTAAGTTCAGTTTTAAGACTAAATCTCTATGCAACAGTTAACTGTTTATATCTACTATTGTATGATTAACTGATATTGATATAAATCTAGGATAGTTAACATTTGTATGCACTGAATGATTGTTGCATTGATCAGTACGTTTGTTAGGATTAAGTTTAGTAGTATTTTTATAATAATTAAAGCATTGAAAAGAATGTTGAATGTCGTATTAAGGATAATCTTCGTTCAAGAATTCATTTTTTTTTTCGGTTCTGTTTATGTAGCAATTGCTTGTCAACATTAATTGTTATTCTAATCATAAACTTGTAAAAATTATCATAGACAAGCACTAATGAACAATGTTATTCAGTGCATTTGAATATATCTTTTTCTTAGTTGATTAATCATGTTTAATTAATTAGAGTAGAGTCTATAACACAAAAACAAAATATAAAATCTTCGTACTTTATAATAAGAAAAATATCGCATAAATCTTTAGCAATTTTTGATCATTTCTAACTTATATAATCATTATTTTTAACGTTGTGTTTTATTCGTTTAACCCTTTCGCTCCTGACAACACATATATGTGTGGGTGTGGATGTGGATGGATAAGAATAATATCTACACCCACACCCTCAAAAAATGAAATTTCTTTAAGAAAAAAGTAAAATTCTTTGATAAACATTAGTTTTCAAAACCTTCTTTCTCTCAAAAAAAAGGCGGGAGCCAAAGGATTAAATAAATGAAAACACATAATCTAATCATTGGATTTGATACAATGGAAAAAAATCTTTATCTGAATAAACCTATTCCCGACTTCCATTCTTCTAACGAAAAAATTTGCTAATTGTATACTCGATAACTGCTCATTTTCTCCAAAATATTTTAGTATTTTATTAATGACAGAAGATTATCATCCATCAAATACAAGAAAAAAAGAAACAAAAAAGGGATATATTTAACAGAATACACATTTTATTAACAATATAAAAAGTAATAGGTTAAAGCAGCTCATATTAAACCAGGGCTTCAGTATCTGTCATTTGGTATCTTTGAACGTTCATGATGAAGTTGTTGCTTTGAATGACAGATGATGCTGACTTGTGAGAGTCCAGAGCAAAAACAAAAGAAGTAAACAGTAAATAACCCGTACCGGCAAGTATACTAAGTGTATGCCCATGATAACAGCTGCCATAGTAAATAAGAGCTACAATACTCATGAGAACAAACATTGAAGTAATCCATAAAACACAACTAAGAAGATGCTTGTGATCTCCACTTAAAGAGAAAAGTTCTTGAGCAAGGCAAATCTGTAATACGAATAAAATTATCGGTGAGATGCGACTGAACTTAAGCTGCGTATCAGTGAGGCAGTATTTCACTGATACAACAGAGCAACGACAATCATCATAAGGTATGCCACAATATAAATCTGTTCCATTTGATGTCATATTCGGCATCCGCAACTTGAGAACTGATTCATGAGATTTGTCTAGGTTATATAAAGTATCGTAGTGCGAAAGAATACACATTATTAATACCATAGCATAGCCAGCAGCATGCATTTCACGATTAATATCCAAACCGTAATGTATTCGCATCTTAATATGTTGTTGTGAATAATTTTGTATAAAGAGTAATGAATCACGACGATATTAGAACAAATCTGAAATAAATTCAAGGTGTGAGAAACAATTCTAACATACAGTTATTGTCACAAGAGTCACGCCAATGCTATATAAACTTCTATTGAAAAGAGTTCATCTACTTAGGAATACCTTTAGAGCCAATACTATGAAAATTGACATTGTTTACAAAATCAATAAGATCATAGCATTGTTATTCTATTTTTGTATTATGATAATACAAGAAATATTTAATCGAGAGAAGATCAAATGTGTCAAAAAAATATATTATTGTACTTTTGCTGCATGTAAATAATAATATCAACTGACTTAATTTAGATTTTTGCACTGTCTTAATTGTTAAAAGTCTTCAGTTTTCTCTCAAAAGATTAAATCAGATAATCAGCGACGGCTCAAAGAGGGTGGAGATATCGTCTGCTTTCAAAAACGTACACTAGGACTCTCTCTGTTTTCTCGATTTCCAAAGAGACTGCCTCCGTTTAGTTTGGTCTCTTCCCATCGTCATTGTCAGCAATATATAGAATATCAGATATATTGGAACAAAAGTCAAAGAGTGACAACACCTTCTATCCACTCTGATATACGAGTTGTGATGCATTTGCTATTTTAGTCTATTTGATATGGCAATTGTCTCAATACAATCCTTATTGATTTGTGTCATTGTCATCAGATAGAGCTCAAAGAATTCTTCACAAGTCAAACAAAATATAAGTAACTTTGACTAAATTTCAATATAGTATTCATGCCGCATAATATTTACTAATTCCTATATCATTTCATAGATGTTTTTCTTCATTATGAAAGAAACTGTTTCACTGCATAGTTCTATCTATTATTCAAAAATATCAATTGCTTATGTGACAAGAGAGAAAAATCTTCAGTCATTTATTATCTTAATTGTATCAATGAAATTAAAAAACACTAGACGAAATATGTAGAAGTTCTACGTCAAAAAGATAAATGTTATGCTCCACTGAAGAATATCAAATGATTGCAAAATGTCGTCATGATACATCATCTTCACAGTGCTACCACTATTTTTTTGAATGCAAATGAATGGACGGTTATTTTACAAGCAGTTGATATTTTTGAATAATAGACAGAACTATGCAGTGAAATATCTCTCTCAACTGATGAACCCTTTAGCTCTCTCTATCGAAAACTATTCAGATTGAAGAAAATTGTCAGGGGATCTCTGCACCATCTTGTATGTGTATCAGTTGAGATCTGATAAGTGTATTCGTAACAAAATAGGAAAAAAGTACATTTGTTTACTTCATACACACTCTATACATTAACTAGCATGTTCAACACACATATCACAGAGGGTTGTGTCTAAAGTAAACAAGGATTGTAAAAATACTGGATGCGAATAAGCTACAAAAAATAAAAAATTGTCTGGTCATATACGAATCATTATTGTATATATGTGCAATAGTCTTCTCATTTCTGATTAAAATAGTACTTATCATTTTATGATAAAAAAAGGATAGATCCTCTTTCTTTTTCTCTAAAGTCTCATCATCAATGGAATAAAAAAATGATTTCGAACAAACTATTGATTTAAACAGATTGTTTAAGAGAATTTAATATGAACAATACTGAGTGAATACAGCGAAGACATAAAGTTCAATAACAATATATAAATGCG